GTCATTTGTTCCTGTTGGGACCCTAACCGAATCTCTGGAGTGGCTCCCATCACGTCTTTTGTATTACCTGCTTTCCTTGCATGTATCTCTCTTGTGAGACAGCCACGTGGCTTAGTCCCTCTTCTCCCCAAATGTCACCTCAAATGGAAGCCCCATAAGGTCAGGGATTTGTGTCTGTTGTGTCTGTTTGATTGACTACTCTATTCCCAGTTCTAGAATATGAATGACACATAGTAGGTGCTCAATAAATACTTGTTGAATGAATGAATGGAAGTTACTGTGGGAAGACCTTGGCTTCTACCTCTCTGTGAAACCTTTCTCAATAACTTCATCCATCTATTAATTGATTAATTTAAAAAGAGCACTGAAGAATAGCCAAGAAACCTGAGTTCAAAATCTCAAACCTTGGGTACTCAGTTGGGTACTCTGTTGTGAAATGAGTTAACATCTGTTGAACCTATTTTGCATGGTAGTTTAAAGGATCAAATGAGATAATGAGTGTGAAAGTGCTTCGGAAAGCATACAACTACACACATGCAAGGCGTCATCATTATTTGGTTACATTAATAACATATGTGTACAGAGATCTCTTATCTGGTTATCTCAGTTCTCACAACAGAGAACCCAGAAGAAAGAAAAAGCATCTAGATCTCATAAAACCCATTCCCTAGTGTTATGTACCTTAACCACAGCAGAATTCCTCAGACTCTTCTTCAATGCATTTTCACTGTCTCTTTACCCAAAATTGTAATAAGCTTGTTTTTCTGTCTCCCAGAAAATAAAGCAAAACTGAAATAGCAAAACTCAGGGAGGGAGGTTACCAGAGTCAAAATTCAAGAAATCAGAGACTCTGGAGCAAACAACCCTAACAATACTTTGATAATCCTTGAAGAAACATAAAAAAACTTATGTTCTTAATGATGAACCTGATCCAGAAAAGGTTGCATATGCATTTATATAGAGAATATATGTTGATCTATTCTATATGAGAAGGCAGAGAAGAGTATGAGAGATTTTAGAAAAATTTCTGTACAAAAAAGATGTTGCTGAGGACATCAAGGGCTAAACCACTAACTATATTCCCCTTTCAATCTGGTTCAAGGTCAAATTTGCAGCCCAACTGCAGAAACCAGAGGGTTTTATGGTTTGAATATTTGTATGCTATTTTTTTCTGCTAGTTTTGACATTCTATTTTAATTTGCGTTTTCCCTGGTTCTTATTTTTAAATTTATTATTTATATTATGCTGTTTTATTGTTTTTCTTGTAAGCCAACTCAGAAATTTTGTGGAACAAGACAAGAACATAGATAATTCAATACATATAACTTGTATACAGCTTAATGCTTTGCAAAAGTAGGCATTGAAAAAATATATTTTTTTTCTACAAAGAAAAAAGTGATAATACTAAATAAATGGGAGTATTTTTAAATTATTATTATCTTTAGTATATTTTCCATCTTCTGATTTCTATTGTAATTGGATACAATGGGAAAGGGCATAAAGCTTTGTAAGTTGGTCACAAAAGTAACAACCACATAAAAGGTAACTCTAAGGGTGAAGGATTGATAAAAATATCTTGGAAGACAATTCTAAGCACTGTCCTGTTCTCCCTTTTTGTTTTCTTTTTACGAAGCAACAATCCTCTGGAGGAATCTAAGTCAATTCTAGCCATTTGTGCTTCTCTATAAACCGGAGAGAAGGGCAATAAAATCAAAATTGACCCATGGCTCAAAGGTCCATATTTTCTTGAGGGCTCACAGTGTTATCACACTGCTAAGTCTTTCTGATCTTCTAAGTAAGATGGTAAGTTGTCCAAAGAGATTAAAGGGTACTTGATTTTCCCAGCCCAAAGTCAAACAACTTTAAAATTGGCCTTCAGGATTCTCTTCTGCTGGGAAGTGGAGAAGCTCAGTCATATGTCCCTTGTTACAAAGCTAGTAAATTAGCAGCAGCTTTGTAGCATTTGATGCTAGTTTGTAGCATCCCAAAGGTAATGGAAATATGACTGGAACAAGGGAACCCAAGTTCTAGACCTGATTCTGACAGTGACCCAGTATGTGACCCTGGACAAGTCACTTATCCTCTTTGTACCCATTTGTAATTGAAGATAATTACTGACATACCTATTTTCCCTTGGAACTATGAAACTAACATTAGATAATTTATGTTGATACTTAGACACATACATGGAAGTTAACTGCTTCCTCCTCTGTGTCCTTTTGCACTCTGTACATGTCTCTATTATTGTACCAACCAGACTACTTCATAATTATCTGTTTTCGTGTCTGTCTTCATGGCTAAACTAAGAGCCCTTCAATGGTAGAAATTAGGTCAAATTCATCTCGGCATCTCTTGGTTTCTATCACATCACTTGACACATAGCAGGTGCTCAATAAATGTTTTCTGAATGTCAAAAAAGAGAGAAATTTTTGAAAACTACTCAACAACAACAACAAAATCCTTACGATGTTTGACTTGGGGACATCACAAAAACACTCAGATCCTCAAAGAAAAAAAAATTCAATGTTAAGGCAGAGTGTTTCTAATGACTTTTCAACAATCTAGAGACTGTCCTCCAAAATAAACTTTAGTTTTTAAGGACTTTCCAGTTTATAAAACAAACTAACAGCTTCCTATTTAATCTTTACAAAAAACTCTGCAAGATAGATATTATTATCCCCACTTTACATAAAAAGAAATTGGGTCGCAGGGAAATTAAGTCATTTATCCATAGACACATGCAGTTAGGAACTCACTAGTAACTGCTGTGGGACTAGCAGGCCAAGCATGTCTAATTAATTCACCAAACAAAGTCGACTGACTAGAATGTGCAAGGCAGAGAGCTAGGTGCACTGGGGCATAAAAGATTATTCAAACACATCTCAAGGACTGTCTTGGGAGTCTGAGCCACGGACGTAGATAATCAACAAGACAGAGATTGCGTTCGATGGAAGTTGTGAGGAGACAGGATTAAGGGAGAACCTGTAAGACAGCGATGTTTGGTCTGGGGATGGGCATGGGTGAGACTGGGGGATGGAAAGTTAGGCAAAAGGAACAACATGAGCAAAAATAGAGAGGATAGTAGTCACATTAAGAGGAAGAGAAGCAGGGGAGAGAAGGAGAGAGAGGGGGGCAATGAGATAGAAATGGACATACTGATATATTGCTTTTAAAGTTCTGGTGAACATCTCAGTGGAGGTATCCACCCAGCAGTGGGACATGCTGGGCTGGAATTGGTGAGAGAAGCAGGAAAGAGAAATACATGGTTGCAAGCCATCTATATGGAGAAGAAGGCGGCCAAAGGAACATGGAGAAGACAACATCTAAAATGTGGCAGAAGGAAGAGGAAACAAAGAAAGTGTGGTCCGTGAGGTAGAAACAGAATGACAACAGATCAGCAGATCAGCAGCACCTTCCTGGATATCAGCTTCAGAAGACAGAGGTTCAGTAAAGAAGGTTTGGAAGGATGTAGGAAGCTAAGGAAGATGAAGACTGAGCAAAAGGCCATGACATGTGGGAAGCAAGAAGTCACCTACGACATCTGAGGGAGCAGTTTTGGTCAAATTGGGGAGGGCATGAGAGGATAAAAGGCAGATTAAGGGAATTGAGGCATGAACTGGTCAAGAAGTGAGGGTAAATTCACGAACTTTGATAAAGGCCATGAGAAATTACAAAATACATTCTAAGATCTCTTGACTCCTCTGGTTGTCCTCGTAACCAAGGACAAACAGCTGCTCAAAGTGAGAGCTTTAGTCTGTTCTGTGGAACTGAGCTGGGCTAATCAATTACCTCACTCACTCATGTCCTCGCCTCATCAGCACCATGCTCCAGACAAATAACATCACACAGAAGGTTTGATTTTTAAAAATTGGAGTGTTATTTGGAATTTTGTAGCAAGATGAATACACCAAAGCAAACAGAGCCATACATAACTGCCCCCTTGAGAGGTTCTGCTCTATTCTGAAAAAACTATCACTATACAAAACCCATTCTGATTCCTTCTTCAGTACCATTCCCTTGGTACTGAGGGCGCTTATGAGCCATACAATAAACTCTCCAGTATTAGCTTCTATTACTGCCATCACTATTATTATTCCTCAGCTTGATTGCCTACTTTATTCACTAGACTTGCCTCTAGAGACTTTGGACTCTTTTCAACTCAAAGCTGCCTCAAAAGGCAAAGATTTGCCACCACGGAGCGTATTCTGAAGGAAGTCCTCTCAAACGTTTCGAAAGCCATTTGGAGTGATGGAACGAGAGTTCAACCTGCAGAGTGATTCCTGTGGGAAGGATATGTGGCTGTGAACGTAAGCTCACATTTGTACCTCTGCTATCGCGTGTGTCTTCTAAACAATCTGTCAGCATCTGGACTGCCCGTCTTATACGGCAGGCTCCCAAATGCTGAGGTTCCTGCTTCAAAGACAAATACCCTCAAATTTAAAAACCAAACCACAAGGCAAACTGATTCAGCCAGATTTGATGACAAGAATGCTGAACTGAGAAGAGGTGCATTCAGACCAACGTGTGGCCTTAGACAAGTCATTCACCCTCTTGGGGGGGAGTTTCCTCATACATAAAGTGAGGGAGTTGGACTAAAGGACCTCTAAGGTGCCTTTCTTCTTAAAAATCAAATAAATAAATAACCTGCCCTATTTGGGGTGATTATCAGAAACTTTTGGAGAGGGTGTAAAGAGAGAGGAGCCGCTGAACTACCAGGACAAAGGGAAAGACGTAGGCACTTCAGGGAAAGGAAAGGACAGACAGGAGACCTGGGATGCAGGTCTGGGAGAAGTTAAAGAAGTCTCGGGAGCAGCCCCGGCCCCCAGCAAACAGGGCGCCCACTGCTCCTGGAGGGAGCCTCAGTGGAAGCAGCCTCCTCACCCCAACACGGGGCATCTGTTTTGTTCTTTGCTGCCCACCAAGCGAGCTTTGAAAGGACAGTTCTGGCCCCGTGGCGCCCCACCAGCACTCGGCCCACAGGTGGGGGAAGCGGTTCTTACCCATTGTGTTGTTGGCTCGAGAACAGGCCGTGCGCTTCAGGATCTCGTGCACCTGAAACAGACGACAGCAGGGATGTGAGTGCCTTGACCACGTGTGCCACCAGCCCGCGGGGCAGGCGGTGGACCAGGCGGTGGACCCATTTGGAGGGAGGAAGAAGACAAGCATGTGCCGAGCTCATGGACTGCACACCAAACCCATTCAAACTTGAGTGCTTTGAGGAAACAGAGAACCAGACGCACTCCCTCCTTCACCACACCCTGAAAAAATAAAGAAGGAAAAGGCTATACATTGACTGCAGCTACAGGAGGTAAGGAAAACACACCAGGAATCCCAGACCCTCACAGCCTCTGGAGGGCTAGGGAGGAGCAGCTGGTTGGGGCCTGGGACGGGGATGTCGGGAAAACAGGGAGGAGACTGCCCTCTCCACCAGCCCTGATTAGTGCCACACTGGGGAAAGCTCAGGATGTGGAGGCAGATGAATCACTTCTAGTCCTGGCTTCCAGCCAAGGGGTCCTGAGCAAGCTCTCTGAGGGTCCTGAGGGTCCGCTGCCTCCTCTGTAATGAAGCTATCTCACAGAGCTGCTTTGAAGATCTATAAAAGCACTTTGTAAACTGGAAAAGGGTCACCTACATCTTGATCATTGGTACTGTTATTTCTCTGCTTTTTCCTGAGTTTTCATCTTGCCTCTCCAATCAGAGCATGTCAGACACTTCCTCAAGTCTCCATGTCCCAGAGCATATCCTGGGCACACAGCAGGCTGCCTGCTCAATGACTACTGCATGCCTAAATAGGCCAACAAACCCTTGGACTATGGGGCTTGCAGGTGACTGTGTCACTCACACGAGAGGGAGGGGTGCTGAGAGTACTCCCTGCAGAGGAAACAGGGACACGGTGGGCCAGCACAAACGTGCTGGCCAGCTAGTGCCCTCCAATGCGGCCCAGACTGTGCCCAGCAAGGAAATCTGCTCTGGGACAAAAAGAGTGCTCAGACACTCATAAAGAAGGGGACACAGGGAAGACGTTCACAGATGTGGGAAAGGTCCTTAGACAAAAGTCCAGGGCAGAGTAGACCTCAAGATAAAACTCAAGGCTCTTTTCTACTCCTTCTCAGAGTGTGGGGTAAAAAGAGAAGGAGGGGAAGGAAGAAGCTTCCAGAAAGAGAGACTAATGAGAGAAGATGTGTTGTTCTGTCATCATTCACACTCCCATATTCCAGCCACAGATCTAGAGAGAGTGGTAAATAACTTCCAGCAGAATGGGGCCCAAGAATGTTTAATTCATTTATAACACAGGGCAATAATTTAACAGCAATAATAATTAGGAACAGAATTATATGGCATTGTATTATTTTACAAGCACTTTGCAATTATTGGGTAATCTCCACAACACCCTATAACTCCCCCACAGATGTGGGACCCAAGCCACAGGGAGATTTAAATGGCTTGTGGTAGCATCAACCAAGAAAATGGGAAGGTTACACTTTTTCCCATAGGAAGACAAAAAAAAATCATATGCCCATCTTAAACCTTCCTAAAACACTAGGCCAAGGGATCTGAGGTGTTTTCGTGTCTATCCTACAAGCAAAGAGTCAAGGCCATGTTTGCAGTATGCCTTGGAAATGTTCTGTAGCTTCCTCTAGTCCTGTCTCTTCTTATCCTTCTTTCCCTTCTTATCACCCTATTGACTGGGATGTCCTTCTAGATACCTAACCCTTATTCCTCCTCCTGTTATAATTTAAGTTCTTTCCTAGGGATCAATGGAAACACACTGCCGTGTTTCACTGTGGCACGAGTTAAGTGTCCAGCCTTCCTTGGGCCCCTTTCTCTCCTCTGTCCACAGGCTGAATGATCTCTAGGTGGGTAGAGACTAAATTGATCAGCGACTGTATATACCCTGCAGTTCAGACTGGGGCCATAGGGACACAGGCCATATACAGATTCTCATTGGAATCAATCATCCTGCAAAATTCAGACTGTCAAAAGGCAAAAAGACTGTAGAAGAATGGCTATGGTCGTGACTGCTAGCTTTCTATTGAATGGGCTGGAAATCATATTCTCGGACAAACTGGCTAGCTGTAGCATTCCCTGTGATATAACACACAGGACTCTTTTTGGGGTAAAAGAAGGAAACACAATGGCTCAGCAATGAGTCCTCATTCAGACACTAACAACTGTATAAATTTCTTTTTCATTTCATTGCTTCTCAGGGCTTCAATTTCCTCAGCTGTAAAGCATGGGGTCACCTGACTAGCTGAAAGTCCCCACCAGCTCTGACATTCCTTGTTTTTGCAATTCCAGGCAGGGCCTGGATGGAGAACCCTAAAGAGAAGACACTCCTCTCAACTGCGAATGAAGGCAGTTGTTTGCTCTTTCCTTTGCTGCTAGGATTGGCAAGCTCCTGGATAGCCTCTCAGTTGCTAGGCAACTCCAAGCAAATGACAACAGGAGGTAGCAGGAAAGGCAAAGGAACGCCCTGCCAAACTGGGTACCTAGCCCTCCCTCACCGCTTCCTGAGCCCACCACACATGGTTAAGCACTTGGTCAACCTGTTTACTTACAATGCGGCTACGGGTGGCATTATCAAAGAAGGTGTCTTTGTCCTGGATATTGTACCTGGAGACACCAAGAAAGCAGAAGGTCAACTCATTTCATTACCCTTGTCTTGAGGCCACTGTCACCCCAGGCCCAGAGCAAACGTCTAGAAAGAAACATAGCAAGACATGTAAGACACACTCACTCACACACACAATGTTTATACACTTTTGACCCAGTAATTCTGAAAACTTCTCACAGCAATGTATCATAGGCAAATAAATTCAACAGAAGAAAAAAGTTCCACAAATAAAAACGTTCATTAGAAAGTTACTTACAATAAAGATTATGGAGATAAGATGCAATTCCAAAATCTATACAATAAATTTTCATGCAGCCATTGAAAATTATAATTATGAAACTTTATAAACAGAAAATTTTCAGACAATGATAAATATTATACTACGATAAATTTTAAAAGCGAAAGTATGTAGAAAGGATTCTTGTGCGTGGACAAAGACAGTAAAGATACAACAACAACAAAAAAAGGGTAGTTTCAGGATGTTGAGATTGTAACGCTTTGTTTTTCAAAATTTCATTTAATGTTATCACATCAATTTGATACCAAACTCCTAATTACGCAAAACCTGTGTCTGTTCTAAATTTTAAATATTGCTCGTTCACTCAAAAAAACACGTGTGTAGAATTAACTGTACTTAGGACACTGTGCTAGTGGACACACAGATCCATGAAACATGCTCCCAGCCCCCCAGGAGCCCAGTCACTGGGGTATGTGTGTTTCCAAATAACTGACGCAGACTAGAACATGATACTGTGTAGACCATTGCTATCAAAACTCAGAGGATGGAGAGCATATTTGGGTTGGGAGAACAGAAGATTCTTCACGAGAAAGTGTTTAGAAACTGGACTTGAAGGATCGCAGAAGATGAATCAATGGAGATGTTTTGGGAGGTGGCAGTTCAGATGCCAGCACTGGCATGAAGAAAGACCCGGGAAGGGGAAGCATGGAAAAAGCACAGAGTGCAAACAGAACAGCAGGCCAGGAGATCAACATGCCAGTCCCAGCTCAGCCACTTAAGGCTGTGTGACCTTGGACAGACCCTGGACCTTGGTTTCCTCTCTGTAATAAAGAGATGGTTATATCTGGATGGCTAGCTATCTTACAAGGGGTGTGATATTGTGATTTATAATAAATGTATATTTTGGTCTTCATCCACAGTTCCTGGCTCACAGTTCCCAAAACCCTTGGAATTTCCTGAGCGATAAGAGCAATGGAAGCATATTTGTTATAATATTTGGTCTCTTGTCCTCGGTTCCTGAAATCACTTCAGAGCCATAAAGGTGAAATGGATGTCTTTTTATTCATAACAAGCCTCTTTCTACCACGACTGGGTTTATGTCAATGAGGTGACTTTTGGAAAGCACCTAAAGATGGGGGGGCTGGTTGTCAGGGGGACCAACCATGAAAAGAGGGTTGGAACTTCCAATCCCACCCTCTGGTTTCTGGGGAGGGGAGAGGGGCTGGAGTTTGAATCAATCACCAATAGCCAATGATTTAATCAACCATGCCTACATAATGAAGCCTCCATAAAAACTCAAAAGGAGGCGATTTGGAGAGCTTCCAGGTTGGTGAACCAGAACGCTTCCACATGCCACTGTGCTGGAACCCAAACTCCACAGGAACAGAAACTCCTTTGTTTGGGATCTTGCTCTACTTATCTCTTCATCTGGCTGTTGATTCGTATCCTTTAATACCCTTTGTAATAAACCAGCAATCCAGTGAGTAAATTGGTTTCCTGAGTTCTGTGAGCTGCTCTAGCAAATTAACTGAACCCAAGGAGGGGGTTGTGGGAACCTCTGATTTATAGCCAGTCGACCAGAAGCACAGGTAACAACCTGGACTTGTGATTGGTGTCTGAAGTGGAGGGCGGTCTTGTGACACTGAGCCCTCAAACTGGAAATTTTATTCTCTCTCCAGGTAGATAGTGTCAGAATTGAGCTGAATTGTAGGACATCCAGCTGGTGTCGGAGAATTTCTTGGTGGTGTGGGAAACTCTCACACACGTTGGAATTGGTGACCAGAATTGGTACCAGAATCTTTAGGGGGTAAGGATTCAATGAGAGAATACAAGCAAAAGGTACATCATATACATGCGTATAGAATTTTTATCTAACATGGCAAAGATGGGTAGGAGATATTCTCCAAGGAACAGCAGAAACACGGCTCCATGAATGCCATCTCCTCAAAGGGACAGATACTTATATCTTCTCTGCCTTTCTGTGCCCCTTCCTTTCTGTCTCTCCCTTGATTCTCTGATCACTCCTGACAGTCTTATATTTTCTCATTAGCTCCTAAAACAGAATGAATGCTTGGCTGCTGCATCTCCCACTTCCCAACCATGACACCCCCTTCCAAAGGTTTCGCAAATGGCCATCCCTGTGAAGAGCTCTTATTCCCTGTGCTGGGTGGGGTGGGGAGGGGGTCTCCTTAGAGGCAACGAGTGCATAAGTAGGCAACTGAGAGTATAGAAATCCAGAACTTCTATCTTCTCTCTAATTTACCACAATTTGTTGAGACCCTATTAGACTGGGAACTGGGCAGAAAGCTTTCCCCCAGAAGGTAAACAGGTATCTGACCATTTTTCTCAGAGTCCCAAAGTATGTGGTTGTCTGCTCCCTGATTCTCCACCCATTGTGAAAAATGACTGAAGTGACAAGTTTCCCCATAAGCCACTGGACAAATATTTGGGGGCTATTTGGGATAATATCACTTTGAGAAGGGGATTCAGAAAGCAGATACAGAATATTTCACCATCAGAGCATGCTTCCTCCCCTCTCTCCCAGGCACTGGGGCACTCATTTTGTGAGTTGAGGCACTAAGTGGGTTTGATTTTCCTTCCCATGCTCTCTCACATCCGAACCCCGCCATGTCCAATACTCACAGGTACATTTTCTCCCTGGAGAATGGGTAGGAGAGGTTTTTCATCCTGTTGTTACTGTGGTCTGGAACTCTGGGCTTCAGGGGAGAGCTCAGCCTCTGCAGGATCTCGTTGAACTTCTTTGCAATGCTGCCTTCTGATTTGATCTCGTACATCTATGAAAGCAAAGCCACAGGTCTGAAAAGGAGGCCACACCCAACACTCAGAGAGGAATGACTTCACAGCCAAAGCTGCATAGGGCATAGGTCCCCCAGAGGGGAACACTGGGGAGAGAGGGAGACCGGGAGAAACAAGAGGTAGAGTCCTTCCCTTTCCCCATTGCTTTCACAAGGACGTGGGCCCTGGACCCTCTCTCAATTATTTGTGTGAATAGAGGTGACCAGTGTAGAGAAATAAGTGAGAAGTCCAAACTTTCTATATGATTTTGTTCTATCGTGTTAAGTGAAACAGAAGACCTACTATGTGGCAGTCACCATACTAAGTGCTTTACATAAATTAGCTCCAATACTCGTAGCAACCTAACTAGGTAGATAATATTATCCTCATATTATGATGAGGAAATTAAGGCTCAGAAAGGTGAGATGAGTCAACAAAGGTCACACAGATAGTAACTGGGTAACAGGTTGGATTTAACTCATGTCAACCTAATCCACAGTCTGTACTCTACAACTATGCCATGCCCCTACGTGATCATCCAGGTTCACTTTCTTTGTGTGTTCCTCTTACGAAATGTCTGATAAACGAGTCTGCTTTCAAAGTATTAAACATCTAATGAGTATCTGCCTTGAATAAGGCGTAGAGCTAGTACCAAGATAACTGTTGATATTTATAGTACATATAGCTTTTTATGAGGCACAGAGTGCTTTTGCATACATTATAGCTTTTGGTCTTTCTAATTTACAGATGTAGTCACTGAGACACAGATGTACTTTTCATAGCTAAGCTGTAATGGATTAGTGATGGCCACAGATTTTTTACACTAATTCTCCTTTCCAGAGGTGGCATCTCTGTTTCTACCCACTTGAATCTGGGTGGGCTCTGGGCAGCTTTCCCAGTACAACAGAAATGACACTGTGCCTGTTCCATCCTTTAAGAAGATGGGCAGCTTCTGGCTTGGTCTCTTGAAGCCCTGAGCCCCCTATAAGAAGTCCATAGAGAGATGCTTAGAAGACTCAGAAAGGGAAAGGACTAGGCTGAACCCAGCCTTCCAGCTGCCCTGCCAAGCATCAGGCATGTGAGGGAAGCCTTTTTGGACCCTCTTGTCCAGCTCAACCCCAAGATAAACACCACCAAGTGACTTCAGTCGACACTGCATAGAGCAGAAGAATTACCCAGCTCGGCTCTGCTCAAGTTCCTGACCAAAAAATCATAAGACAGAATAAAATGACTGTGCTTTAAGCTACTAAGTTTGGTTAATTTGTCATGTTGCAATAAATAACCAGAACAAGAGCCAACATCCAGATCTGCTGACTTGACAGCCAGTTTTCTTCTCTATGATGATATCTGCAAATTGCTTAAATCCAGAGAGACGGTAAAACATGTAGGAAATATTTACAAAATAGACAGAGATACATGCCACAAAAGACACACTAAGTGCTTTCAGGGTTCAAAGAAAGGGAATAGCACATCCAGCTTAGGAATCAGAAGAATGTTTCATAGAGGGAGTAGCATTTCTGTTGGATTTTAACAAAAAGGTAACCTTCTTTTGTTATCATTTTGTTCTCTAATAAAATAATGGTAAGTTGGGGCAGGGGAAGAACCTCCCCAACCTAGCAACTGAAACATAACCACAGTTTATTGGTTTCTTCTAATAAATTTTTCTATGCATTTTGATTTAATTTTAATTACAAAATTAACACAGTTATAGTAAACAAGGAAACCAAAACCATAAAAGTATATTAACTAAATGGTAACAGTTTCCTTTCACTACCAACCCAATCCCACCCTCCGCTCCAGAGGAAATCTCTATTCACAATTTGGAGTATGGTTTATCCTGACTCTCTGTAGACATGTATAACCAAATCCCTTTCTAAACACTACCGTGATCATACTGCACATAGTGCTCTACAATTTGCTTTTTCAACTTAAATATATATCATAGATAAATATCTTTCCAAGTCAGTTCATGCATAGCTACTTTAACAAATGCATAATATTACACATTAGACGTGAATCCTAATTTGTTTAGTTATTTTTCTAGTGATGGGCATTTATTTTATTTTCTACACATGCTTTATCTTGTTTAATTATACTTCTATTAACATTACCTTATCAATAACTTGTGACGAATAAGGCTTGAACAGATATAGGCAAAGACATTCCAGGCCAACAAAAAAGTAGAAAAGTTCAAGCTGGGTTTAAGAAAGGTTCAATGGCCTGCTTTCTTTGGAGCACAGGGCTCTGATGGGGAAATAGTGACAGTCATGGCAGAAAGGCAAACTGAGACCAGTGCACGGAGATCCTACTGCACAAGGCAGTGGGAAGTCAGCATGGGGTGTGAACAAGGACACTACCACAGCTGTGAATTGAGAAGATGGTCAAGTGTGGTCGTATAAGAAGAAGAATGAGCAGCTTTCTGAAACAAGCGGATTGTTTAGTTCTTGGAGCACATACCATTTAGTAAGCATCTCCTAGGCGCCTGTTCTTGAGGTGTATTAGCACTAATCTTAAAGATATGCTGCAAACCAAGAGGAGTTACGTATCACAGTCAAGATCACACAGATAGTGTAAACCAGGTAATGAGTGCCGGAGCTTTTGAACCCCCGGCAAAGCCTGTGTCCTTGCCTGCTGTACTCTGCTGCTCTATTCGCTAAAGCACAAGTTATCTCGGGAGAAAAATAGTGTGCAGCTTACAATAATGCCTCTATTGTCACGTGCTCTTGACCATCCTGCCAAATCTCTCCTTCGCACATGCGTCACCGTGACGCAAGGAGCTCACTTCTCAGGCATCTCTGGGCCTGGAGGGATGGGGACAGAAAGATGACCCCCTCACCCCGTCCCAGCACAGTGTCTCACAGTCATTCAGGGCAGGTTCTGACCAGGCACATGCCCTGCCCTGAGACTGTGGTGTGTTAATCCTATCCATAACCGTGTGTCTTAAATGGCATATGCATGGAAGTTAAAGTTTCAGAGCAGGAGAGAAGCTGATGGACTCTGTCTTGCAGATGCCTTGGAATGACAACCCTGGGCCAACCAAGGGTATTTTTTCTTTGTTCACTTCTCTCCATTTCCACCTCTGGCTTCCTAGTCTAAGGAGCCTTCAACTGCAGCAATAACTGGTCTCCCCCCATCTTCTCTTGCTTAGGGTTGCCATATTTAACAAATAAAAATACAAGATGTCCAGTTAAACTTCAATTTCAGATAAGCAATGAATAATTTTTAGTATGAGTATTTCCCATGCAATATTTGGGACATACTTATACTAAAAAATTATATAAGGACAGCAATAATTTTTTAGTGTATGTCCCTTGCAGTATGTGTGACAGAATTATACTAAAAAGTATTAATTATTGCTCTGAAATTTGAATTTAACTGGGCATCCTGTGTTTCATCTGCTAAGCCTACCCTTGCCCACCTCTAATTCAGTCTCCAAACTGGAGCCAGAGTATGTTTCTGAAGCAAAAATCTGATCATGTCATCTCCCTGCAAAAAAGCCTTCAACGGTTGCTCATTGCTCAAATGATAAAGATCAAACTTCCTCACACAGCCCATGGGACCCTGCAGAAGTCTCCACATAGTGAGTCCCTCGCTCACTGCCCCCAGTCGCTGGCTTTCTTTTAGTCTTTCCAATGTGCTGACACTCTACACTCTTTGTCTCCCACCTCCCCCTTCACCAACTTCTGTTCACACTTGAGGTCTCACTCAATTGTCACCTCCTGAGGGAAGTCTTTCCTGGCTTCCAGACAAGGTCAGGTCCCACCTTCACAGTAGTTCATGGGCCCAAATTCCTCTCCTTCAGAGCACTTATCACAGTTATAATTTGACATTTATTTGAGTGATTATTTGATTAGTGTCCAGCTGCCCATCAAACCACAGTCTCCATGAAGACAGGATACTGTTAAAACTGTTCCCTACAGCAGTTGCTGTCTGGAGGAGCTCAGGCTGGGGACAGAACAACCATAAGGTAACAGGCCTTGGGAGAAATAAACAAGGTGGAGAAGGAAGCCAAAAGCCTAAAGCCTCTGGCTGGCTGATAGGCTTCCCTTCCCGTCCCCACCAACTGTGAAGGCACTCAGGAGGCCAGCCCTGGCAGAGGTCAGGAATGCCTGTATTCAGTTGGTGCACAGTAATAACCCAGTGATTGTCTCAGGGCCCTGTTCTGGCAGAAGGTTAGCTGAACACCTCCAAGCAATCCTTGACCCTCATCTTGGCAGTGGATCTGGTAGAGCTCACTTAGAGAAACAGGTTAAAGGGAGTGGGTTCCTGTGGTATGTCTTTAGAGGGACAAGGAATGGGACCAGGACAAATTTTGACTGTTTCTTGATGCGTGCTCCAAATCACTGAAAGCAATATCGTCTGCCTCCAGGAAAAATGTAAAAGGTGTAGAAGGCGAGAGTCCCACCAGAAACCTCAAGGTAACATCCCCTCCACAGCCCTGACCAAGACCCAACACAACACACCCAGGCTGAAATATTACAGCCAACTTATGTTGGAAAGAGATTTCCTGGACTTCGGGGACTCTGTGAGGATGGACAGACACATACCCACAATAAAACATGAGTGGGAGGCCCCGTAGCACACACCATGTACACTAAGCTTGGAAGACAAAGGACCTGCTTCCTACCTCCATGACTTTGCTAAGGCTGTACCTATACCTGGAATTTCTTTCCTCCTGTTTCACCTAGCTTACTCCTTCTCCTCCTTCACCACTAGGCTCAGTATCAGCTTTCCCAGGAAATCTTCTTTGGCCACTCATTTCCTGCCACACTTCCTTACTACCCTGTGAACAAATACCTGGGTAACAGACTGTGGACTTCTGGAGATCAGGAACCAGGCCCTGCATGCCTGGCTCATAGGAGGAACACAGCAATGTCAACTGAGTGAATGATCTGGGTGCTGGTCCTTGCTGACACTAACTAGCTGCGTGACTTTGGGCAAGTCACTCCCCCTCTCTGTTTCTTCATTTCTAAAGAGAGAACTAGGGAACTGCCACTTC